AGTAAGGGACCCTGGACTGAATGATGTCAAGAGGAACACACTGCCACAAAGGACATGATTGGGACACCTGTAGAAATCAGAATCTGGACCGCAGGTTACAGCACTGATTCAGTGTTGAAGTTGCTGAATTAGCAACAGTGGTGTGCTTACAAGAAGAGAATATATTTCTTATTAGGAGGTATACACAAAAGTATTATGTGATGAAGGAGTATGATGACCACAATCCACACTCAAACAGTTCAGAAAAAAAATAGATAAATAGCTTAAAAATTAGTTTTCCTTCTAGCCAGAGAGCTAGGTATCAGAAGAAATAACTAGCCATACCACATTCAAAATTTCAAGACCTTTCCAGACATTAATTCTGGACAGTTTCCTACTGACAGTCACATGAGAGTTTCTTTTGGGTTATCATGCTTATAAGACATAATGCTGAGATTATTTCCCCACAGACCATTAGCCACAGCCAAAGAAAAAGCATTCCAATAGTCCAGTCAGTGATGGGGTGGTCGTGCCAAGGCCCCCAAAGCACCATTTCAGCTTCTGCAGAATCTAATTAACTCATCACTTTCTCCCACCCAAGCTTCTAGGCATTATGTTGTTTTAAGGGTAGTGAAATGTTGGGTTTGACCAACACCCTCCTCTTCTTTTTAACATTTACTTTGTTTATAACCATAAACTCAACACATGCTTGTCATTTTTTAAAGGAAATTTTTAAAAAATGTTTTAATCACATGTAATTTCCACCAAAAAAATAAGTACTCACTTGGACTGGTTTCTAGAGGTAGAACTATTGTATCAAAGGGCATGAAGGCATGGATGTATTTCCAGAAAGGACGTTAACAATTTATACTTTTATTAGCAGAACAGAAGTATAAAGAACCCTCGGTAGCATTAATTTTATTTTGCCAACTTGCAAGTTTAGATGTTCTTACTATTTTCTAATCTGTATACCTGATTATTTTTTGCATGTTATTTTTCTTCTCTGAATTATCCACTTTATCATTGTGTCCACTTTTAATTGGGAAATTAACATTCTTGATTTGTAAAAACTATTCATATATTTAAATACAATAAACTTCCATCATGAAAAAATTACGAGATTGTCTAAATGCCTGGACACTGACTAAGCCAGGCTAGAACACTTTGAACATTCCCTACGACTCTAGGAAGGAACCTCTGGGGACCGTTCATGCTAGACGCCTAGTAAAATCCATGGCCATAAAAGTTTCCCCCAAAAGGTTACATAAATAGAGTCTAGCCTTTAAAATCAAAATGATGTGCTCATTTCTACTCATTATTCCTCACCTTAAAGCTCTTTTTATGGTTTCTAATAGTTTACCAAATATCTGACTAGAAGGACTCTTTTTGAAGATACACTTTTTTCAGATTTTGAAGAAAAATCCCTTAGTTCCCTCCTTGACATTTAATAAAGACAGGATGTTTCAAGACCATGGTGAGTACACATAACCAAGAATAGAAACTTCCCCATTTGGGGGCTTCTGGTTCGAATGCCTAAGCTGGGCAAGAGATGGGATATACTCCTCCACTGGGTCCCATCCCTGCTACAAACAGAAATAGCTCAAGAGGACTGCGTGGCCAGCCACAGGGGCTCTGCTCGCCCGATGCACAGGGGGCCCTCAGGAGATGTTCACGGAAGCGTGCATGGGGACCCAGCCCCCACAGCGGCCTGCAGCGCTGGCCACCAGACGGTGCTTGCCTTGCAGCTGTGCGACTCGGGGAGCTGGAGCAGCCAGGCTCCCTGCCTTCCCAGCCAAACCTCAGATACACAGAAGCGCCTATACCCTCCTGCTCAATAAGCACCATCTCAGAGACCTCAGCTGAGGTTTAATGCATACACACATTGTATTTTCAAATGTCAGTAAAGGCAGTGATAACCAACTATATTAAAAATAACCAAGGAACTGAAAAACAAGGCATATTTTGTAAAAGGATTTGTTGAGGTTATTATCTAACATAAGACTGTATCTCCTTCATCAAGGCCTAGGGAAAAAAATGTCTCCCATATCTGAGTGCCAGGGAAAAAACCCTGCACAACTGACATTTTATATTCAGAACATATGTACCTCACAACTGATGATTCCCTCGCCTGGCCTATAAACAGCTTAGAACTGAACAAGCTAGGCTTACACCTGAATGTACCTCTTAAATATACAGGGATTTGGGTTTGTGTTTCTGGGTACGATGGCCTGGTCGGTTTCACTTTACTGTTTACCTCAGGTTATCTGCACCTTGACCTGTCTCCTTTTATGCAACCATGTAATTTTTTCTAAGCCACCTCTAACTCTTTTTGAAAGTGGGTGGTGTAAAAAGTAAATACTTAATACCCAAATCACATGCCCAGGGAAAAAAGTCCACACTAATCATAGTTATGGTAAGTCTCTCATTCATTTCCCAGATCTCTGTGGTGTGACCCACCCCTTTCACAACAGAAAATGTTATTAAAGCCCAACATCAAATGGCAAGCACTACATACAGTTGCCCTCTAGCAAAAAGCAGGCAAGCTAAGCGCTAAGAGGATGCTCCTGTTCCCAAAGGGCAGCTAACGGGGGCTGAGGAGGAAGGAGAGCAGCAGCCACAGGCCTGAATGAACTGTGCTCAGTGTTCTTGGCCACAGGTCAGCTCCGCCCCAGCCTGCTGGGGTTTCCACAATGTTCAAGTTTAGGCAGAGCAGTGAAGCCTCAGCATCTTGGCATGCTCTGCCCCCATTCCTATGCTGAAGTCTTCCCCCAGTACCTCAGAATGTGACTATTCCGAGAACCGATCTTTACAGAGGGAACTGGGCCCTAAATCCAGTGACTTGTGTCCCTCCCTATTAGAAGAGATTAGGATACAGACACACATACAGAGGAAGGACTATGTGAAGACACAGGAAGACAATAGCCACCTATAAGCCAAGGAGAGAGGCATGGAATGGATGCTTCCTTCACAGCCCTTAAAGAACCAACCCCATGACACCTTGACCTTGAAATTCTAGCCTCAAGAATCTTGAGAGGATAAATTTCTGTTGTTTAAGCCACCCTGTGTGGATCTTTGTTATGGTGACCCTAGCAGATTAATACAAGCAGGAAACAGGTGGCTGGCTCCCACCATGTGACACGCATCCACTCATTTATGCTGCATTATGTTCCTGAGGCTGAGGTACTATTGTTATCCCTGATGTAGAAAGGAGGGAACAGAGGGTGAGGGAGGTCTAAAGCTCATTCCAAGTCACAAAAGTTGGCAGGTTGCAACCCAATTCCAGATTGGTCTATCACTAGAATCTGTGTGCTTTACTTCACAGTGGCTGCACCTGAGAGACCAAGACCATCTCATCAGATACCCTCACATGACAGATGAGAAGTCTGGGCCCCTGGAAATTCAGTAAGTTGTCCAAATAAATAGTTGAATAAATATATGAAGATATCTTACCCCCCAGTCTTACATTCTACTCACCAAACTAAAGTAGTTAAAACCAATGAGATGCCACAGGACTGATCTACAACAATGGTACCTCACAAAGGCAAAGAAGGCGAGGCCCCACAGGAGTTTTAGAGAGCCCAGATCATCCGCCTCTATAGCATCAACACCAAGGAAAGAAACCTGAAGTCACCAGATGTCTATCTCCCTGAAGGTCAAACTGGCAAGAAGATGATGCTCGAGGCTACAAAGAAATCACAAATATCTGATCTGCAGTATGACCTTGGGTAAGTCACCTTACCTCTCTGACCTTCAGTTTTCTCACCTGGAAAATATGAACAGGTACCATATATTGTTGACATTTCTAATGTGCAAGGTGCTGAACTAGCTGCTGCACACACATGACTCACGTGATCTTTGTTCTGGGGTGTGAGAGTCCTTGGGAGTACACAGCTGAGGTCTCCCTCCCAGGGACAACAGGCTGGCTATGAGGAATGTAGGAAGCTGACAGCCTGGAACCACCACAATATTCATCTGGAGCCTGTCTCCCCAGCTGCCAGCCAATGACTGACCACAGCGGGGGTACTAGAGCCAGGCCATTTCTGCCCCATGCTATATCTTTCGATGAGCAATCTTTGCCTGGCTGGGACTGCCTCAGAGATACACACAGTGGAAGGCTCTTTTTATTTACCCCTCCTTCCTTTCCCCTCTCCTTGTTCCAGTGTCAGACCAGTGTCCTGGACTGAAAGCTCTACTGGCTACTCTTGCTCCCTCTTCTTTATCCTTTACTATCATTTTCCCCAATAAATCCCTGGTACAACTAATTATTTCTGGCATCTATGTCTCAGATGATTCAAAATAACACCATCCCCATTTTTCAGATGAAGAAACTGAGGTGATTAACATGCCTAAAGTCACACAATTAGGATTCAAATCTACATCTCTGATTCCAAAGCCCAAGCTCTTAACTGATGATTTAAAGAACAAAGGAGAAAGTATGCTGACACACTTTGTAAAGTAATGTTACACAAATTCATGAGACTGTTGGCAGAAGGCAAAGCAGTGCCATGCAAAGGGCACCATATCAGGAAGCTGCTCCAACATTTGTTGATGGACCGATGTTCAGTAGATGAGTCCTTAAAAGTACCCTCCCTATTTTGTGGCCAACAAAACTATCACCAAACCCACTTACCTCACGAGGTAACCAATATCATCAAGTGAGACTCCTCCCCCAGGAAGGTGGCACAAAACACAGAATCCACCAACTGTGAAGTGTTATGCAAACACGTAGGGACAAATGTGCAACAGGCCTAACCCTAAAGGGTTCTACAGCAGGGAGTACTGCCCCTGCTCAACAGGGCCCCAAAATATGGGAGACAATGATTATGGGATGGAGAAAACAACTCTAAATGGCTCTTATTTATGCCCACATCCCAGCACCGGTAACACTGCCTGGCACACATTAGGCATTCAATAAATAGTGACTGAAACCAACTTTAAAGAGGCCTCCAAGCACTGTCTGTCTATCCTCCAGAACAGAGGCCCAGGCTTCTCCCACAGCCTCACATGCAAAAGCAGGATACCTGGCAGTTCATGTTGTCTTCCGCTTCAATGAGCTTCCCACGATACACCTCACCAGTGTTTGTCTCACATGTCACGATGTGACCCTCGGCCTCGTGTAGAACTTTAATTGGCACACCAATAGACATCTTGGCAAGGAGAGAGTTCTATAGTGAGAGAGACAACAGTCAGTTCACGGGTCAGAGCCCAAGAAGACATGTGGCACATACCATGCCTCCCTTAAGCCTGACACTCCATAAAACTTCAGCCAAGATACTGAGGCTGCATTTTCTACAGAAAAAGGAGCTTAACTTGAGGAAGCCTATCTGGCAGATACATGCAAGACATGGAGTGAGGAGGAATGTGGGGGCTGGATAAACAGAAAGTTAATGGGAATGAAGAGAAAGAGACTCCCATCTCTGTCCCTGTTACTGTATGTCCTTTGTCTTCATCAAATAACCAGTACACCATACTGTGTGTGTATAGGGGGAAAAGGGTTGCAACGTATGTGCCGTACAACATATTTGTCAACCCCCGGTTGTGGGTGACACCACTTTGAGAACCCATTATACAGACCCCAGTACAGTAGCCACTATTTGCACCTATTTACATCAAACTTAATTAAGATGAAATAAAATTTTAAATTCAGTCCCTCAGTCACACTAGCCACATTTCAGGTGGTCAACCGCCACATGCAGCTAGTGGCTTCAGTATTGGGCAACACAGATACAGACCAAAGGATTCAGGCAAATCTAGAAGAGGCTATGAATTTAATTCAACCCATTAAGTGCCCTTGGACTTTCCACTTACTTCACTATCAAGGCTAAAGAGAAAATATCAAAGTGTTCACAAAATAACAAGGTGCTGTAAGCCGGCAATGCATATCTTGGAGGAAAAACAATCCCGGGCAAGCATCTGATTTAACCTAATTAAAAGAGAAAAGCAAGGGACTTTTTATTCCAAGAAGAGCAGCGACTGAAAGTTATAATACACCATTGTGAGTTCAAGAGAGGAAAGGGAACACGAGGTTGAAAAAGACAGGCTCCCGTGATGAGGGGACCTACGACAAGGAGTTTGGCTGAAAACAGCGGTAACCACTGCAGAATTATAAGGAATGATCCACTGAAAAGGCAACAGAACTTACAAAATGGATCTAACGCAGCTTAGAAACAAGGAAACTTGATAAAACTTCTGTAACAAGGTGGAAAGCATGAGCGACCGGTGTCTGAAAGGGAGATGGAGGCAGAGATGCAAAGAACTTCGAACAGAACTGACCAAATAGGATTCGGGGGAAGAAGGCAATCAGCGAGAAATGATTTCAAGACTACTTGCCTGAATGTTTCGAAAAACATGGCATGGAGAGGCACAGAAAGTGAAGAGCATGTACTTTGGAGGTAACGAATGAACCCATTTCCAGGCGCCAGTAGGCTACGCGGAGGTTCGGGTGGCCCCGTCTTCCCGCCCTTCCCTCCCCTCGAGCCCCGGAGAGCGCCACAGCAGCGCGTCCCTTCCCAGCCCCCGGCCCCTCAAGGAAGCCTCGGCCTACCCTCGCCCTTCCCCAGCCCCTCCGCACCGGCTCTGGCCTTCTCTTCCTTTCCGGTGCGGCGGCAACTCTGGAGACAGCGAAGGCGTGAGGCGAGCGAATGGCGGCTCGCGCGCTCGCTTAACACCACACGTTCCCAAAATGCCGCGCGCAGTACCACCCCCTTCCCTTTCCTAGTGGTGAACGAGGTCTTGCCTCCGCTTCCTCCTCACCCCTCCGGCTGGGAAACGTGGGCTCTTGTACGATAGTTCCGGCCCTAGAAGAGAGGGCTAGAGACCCGGCCCCCGTGTCGCCGGAAACACCGACCCTCGGGCGAGCTAGGGGAGAGTGGGGCTCGTTTCCAAGCACCAGGGACGGGCTGGACGCAAGACAGGGATCTGGGCTCTGGGCCCTAGGATCGGGGACGACAGGCAGTGGGGCCGAGGGCCAGGACCTTCCTTCACAATTTAACCTTTGAAACCCGGTACCTCCAGGTAAGGGGCGCCCTCAGCAAGGCGAGGTATCTCACGGTACAGATAGGGAAACAGGTATAGAACAGGGCGAGGGCCAGCCCAGGGCCGACCCCCGAGGGAGCCGGAGTAGCATTAGGTCTCCCGTAGCCTCGCAGCGTGTAGAGAAACACCCGACCTGAGTCCCAAAGCTGGCAGAGACGTAGCCGGGCAGAGGCGGAGCTTGCTAAGGGGAAGTCTCTGGGCAGCCAATGTTCGCAGAACCTAAGGGCCTCGGGGCGGGGCTCAGAGAAAGAGGCGGGGCCTCTGGGACCTGAGGCGGGGAAGGGCCGCGCCCCGGCTCCGCAGAGGGGAAAGGGGCGGGGCCACCAGAAGCCGAGACTGCCAATGGCGGGGACGGGCTTACATCCGGTAGGGGGCGCGGCTTGTGGCAGGGGCGGAGCCCCGGGTCCGAGGCCTGGAAGGGCCGGGGCGGGGCTTGGGACGGCCCAGCTGCCCGGGTTCCTTCTCCCTTCGGCGCTGGCGGTGGCCGCGGTGGAACCCGACAGGCGCCGGCCCCGCTCCAGCACTAGCCGAAGCCGAAGCTGCAGCCAGGCCGGGGTCATGGGCGCCCCGCGCTGCCCGGGTCATGAGGACGGAGGCGGAGGCAGCGGGGTCGCTGCTAGAGCCCGGTCAGTCTCTCCCCCAGGGCCCAGCCCTCAACCCCGGGAACGAGAGGGACTCCGCCCTCGCGCGAGCAGGGTCCGGCCGCGCGACCTTGGGCCGTCTGCCGCCACAGTCGAGCCGTAAAGCTTTGGGCGAAACCTGGCCAGGTGTACATTCCTACCTTGGCCACGCACTCCCAACCCCGGTCACTTAGTATTTCCTGATACTCCCAGGGCTGGGACCCCAGTCAGCTCCAACAGCGGCCAGTGGCAGGGCCCTGGTTGTGAGGCAGGGGTGGCACCTTCTCCAGAAGCTAAAAGCCCTGCTGGAGCGGTCTTGGAAGATCCCGTCCCCTCGGGGACCTGGGGGAATGAGGCCTAGAAGGGCAGGGGCTGGCTGAGAACACAGAGCAATGGGAGGGCTCCCCCTGGCATTTTGTCTAGCTACAGTTCTTCACCTTCGAGTGGCTTCTGACCCAAGGCGCCCTGAGTTCCTTTGGGGAGGAAACCAAGACTGACAGTTCAGTGCTGTGGACCTCAGTTTGTTTTTCCAAGTGAGGGAGAGGGAAAATAGTGACTCCTTTCTGCTTAAGGCACAGGGTTGATGAGAAAAAGAAAGTGCTAGTAAACTCTAAAGTGAGGTGCCAACTCATGGCAAAGGCCAAGACCCTGTGGTACCCTGATTCTAAGACATCCGTGGGACCCTGGTGTCCTACCCAGGGGATGGTCTGCCACGTTTGCAGCAAAGAGTAGGGCCTGGTGCTCTCCTGGGATTGCACCCTACTCCTCCAGTTATATAACTCTGATCTTGGACCAGACCCTTGCCTTTCCTGTCTCGGTAGAGTAATGGTTCACATTCACAGGGCTTGCTCTGCGCCGGCACTGTGCTGAATTGTTTATGTGCAGTGCCTTATTAACCCTCACAAGGACCTCCTGAAGTAGGTTACACTTGTTGAACTTTTGCAGATGGAGCGGACTGAGACTGAGAGGGTTACGTATCCATGGCCTCCCTTCCTTCTTTGGCCACAGCTACCCAGTGAAAGCCAGGTTAAGGCCTTCCAGGCAAACCCTACCTCTCAGGTGGGACAGCCCCTTGGCTCCAGGCATCAACATCTGGCAGCAGCTTTGGGCTTAGAAGGCCTCGCCTATCCTTATCACCCCCAACAGCACTGTATCTGGACCCCTAAGGGCTGGCCTGCCCATACCAAGACTGGGGATTTAGCCGTGCAGGGCTTCAGGATCAAGGGGTTCTAGGGATCAGGGCAAGCAGAGGAGGGCCTGGAGACCCTGAAGAACAGCTGGACAGAAGGGAAGGCACAGAGTCAAAGCCTGACCAAAAGTGGCCCAGCTAGCTGGTGCCAGAGCCCAGGCACAGCCAGGAGCTGTGACCCAAGGGCTGTGGTCTGGAAGCCTGGCGCAGGGGGCATTGTGGTGACAAGTAGGCCTGGGCATCTCAAGGGATAAGGTCTTTTTGGCAAAATGCCTTCCCTTCACCAAGCCTAGCTGAGTGCCTGCTCTGGTCCAAGGGCTGGGAGGGAGTGAACGCCACCCCATTGCCAGCCACTGAGGTATTCTCCATCCGTCAGTGGGGAAGATAATACTGCCTCAGATACTCCATACTGAGGGGATCAGAGAGGAAAAGAGACCAGAACATTTGGATATTCAGAGATAGAAGACAACATTCCAGACTAAAGGTTATGCAAGCTCAAAGGCCGGGGAGTAAACAGCCCGTGAGAGAGAAACAAAAAGGCAGTTTATGGCCACAGGGAAGGGTTCTGGAAAAGGGAGGCACGTCACCATGAGGAGACAACACCCTGCCCAGAGCTCTCCCTCTGCTCAGCCTGCTGTGGGGAATTATGGTAGAATATGAGTCCCTAGCTTTCCCAGGAGCCTGGCACATAGTGCGTGCTCAGTAAGTTCATTTCTAACAAAGGTTTATCGAGTTACTACTGAGCGTCGGACACTGGGCAACAGGAATGACCATGAACAGGATCAGCAAATTCTCTGCCCTCAGGAGGCTTACAGTCTGCTGAGGAGACACAGCTGCTTTATGCTTATTTTTCTAATTTCTTTGCTTAGTACTGCAAAGGAAACAAACTGGATGCTGTGAAGGAGGGTCCCTCCCCCCTGTGGGCACAGTCAGAAAAAGCCCCTCAGAGGAGGATACTTTAACCGGGGATACAAATCAAATGGGAGCAGCCTTGAGAACCGCAGGGGAAAGAGAGTTCCAGGAAGGGGCAGCTTCGTGTGCAAAGGCCTGATGGGTTCCCAGGGTAATTGGAATGGGGTGAGGGAGGGGCGAGGGCCTAGGCAAGGCTGGAGGGGCCTGGGCTGGGGGCGCCCAGCAGGCCAGGGTGAGGGGGAAGATGTTTATTCTAAGAGCAGGGGGAGACTGGATGGGATCCCTCTGAGTGCTGTGTGCAGAGATGGGAAAGGAGCTGGGGGCGGACTTTGGGTCAGAGGACAGGTGGAAGCTGGGCAGGACTGAGCCCTCAGGACTGAATCCACGACAGTGGGAGGAGGCAAATGTGCAAAGGCTTTGAACCATGTCCTAGGTTCCTTTTATAGGCAACTAGGGTCAGGGCAAGGAGGGAACAAAGGCCTTAGCCTGGCCCCAGTCCCCGAACTGGGTGGAGGGTAGGGTTCACATCAGCACCTATGAACGGCTTTACATACGCTTTTACCCCGAGTTTACACAGCAGTCTGCAGGCTGGCATCTGCGGCGTCTGTTTCATAGAGGCAGAAGCAGACGCAGGGGTCAGGTACGCCTCCCCAGGTGACTCAGCCAGCAGGTGGCCTGTATGGGCACGTGCCATCCCGCCTTGCGTGGGCCCTCTGCATGCCTCCCTAGGTGAGGAGTAGGGGGGAGAGAGGGGCAGCAAAGGAGCAGTCACAGGCTCCTGCCTTCTGGGAGCGTACAGCAGCCCAGTAGGTCCCAGACCAGCTCGATGCAACGATCCCTCCTTTGAGCCAAAGCCTGAAATTGGGCCTGGGGAGGGCAGGTGACAGAAAGGGTGTGGCCAGCCTGGGATCAGGGAAAGGCGCTGCAAGTGGTCGCATCTGAGCCGGGCCTGGGGAGGCTGGGGAGCGTTTAGACCTAGGAGAGCAGGAGCTTGGGACCTGCTCCAGCAAGAGACTGCTCAGATAAGGCTGGCAGGTCAAAATGCCAGGGTGGACTCCAGGGCCAATGAGTTGCCTTCTGGTCAGTGCAGGCACTGGCAGCTGGAGCTGGCATGGCACACAGGCTCCTGGGGCTGCTCTGCACAGGCTAGATGCAGGTTCAGGAGAGGCCCCAGCAAACCCTGAGATGAGGAAACAATGTGGGTGGGTTTTCACAAGCCGAATGGGTGTAGGCCTCATGCCAGCCTGCCTCCACTCAGGGCCTCAGTGCGTGCTCTTCCCTCGCTGTCTTGCTCTCACTGACACTCCCTCTCCCATTCTGAGGCACACTCCCACCATTCTCCCCACCTAACCCTATTCCTCTCTTACATTTGCTTATTTTTGTTGTCCACCAGGACGGGCTTATGTCACTCACCACCGTATTGCTGGCTCAAATGCCAGGCGCTTACTAGGGTCTTGGGAAATATCTGTTGATTGAAATCAATCAGACCAAAGTCCCCCACTTTGAGACAGCCAGACTCAGTGCAGCAGGAAGGCAGCTGCTCAGCCCACTGCCAGCCAGTGACAGAGCTGTGGCTAGACCACCCAGGTCAGCCCTTTCTGTTCCACCTCACTGCTTGGGAAGAACATACTGAGAGGTCACCCAGGGTAGCGTCCCACGTGCCCAGATTACATGACAGTCCCCTCCTCCTAACCATGGTCTTCATACTTTGGTGGCCCTGGGGACTTTGGAATCAGGCAAACCTTCAGGGACCTTGTGAATTCAGACATGAATATCTGCTGAGTACCTCCCATGTGCCAGCCCTGTCCCTGCCTCCTCAGAGCTCTTGCCAAAGAGGGGACTCAGAGAGAGGCCCAGGCGTGACAGCGTCGCGGGGAAGTGACAACCACAGATAGGAGTTAGCTTAGGCACTTGGGAGGCCAGGAGAGTCCAGGCAGAAGGAGCAGGTGTGCAAAGGCCCTGGAGCATAAGGGATCATGACAAGTGAGGATCCTGCCTGGAGGGCAGCCTGAGGAGGACAAGGGGAGGCGAGGAGGCAGAGGATGCTGGGGCAGCAGCCATGAAGCACCGTCCTACGAGATAAGGGAAGCAACCCATTGGAGGACTTTGTGTCGGGCTGCCCTTCCCTGACTGTGAGATGGCTGCTGTTGTAAGGAAAGTGGATGGGGCGGGGGCGCTGAAAGGCTGTGGGCCAACCTCTGAACAGCCCCTGCAGGATCTAGGCAGGAGCCTGTGCCAGCGGCTCCAGTGGGGTGGTAGTGGCAGGCGTTAGGACAAGGGTCTGTGACCTCGCTGTGTTTCCATGCAGGGGACTTTGTGCAGCTGCCTGTGCCCATCATCCAGCAGCTTCACCACTGGGACTGTGGCCTGGCCTGCTCCAGGATGGTGCTGCGGTGAGTGGGCCTCGGGCCTCCCCGGCCATACCATCTGCTCTGGCTGCGGGGAGACACAAGGGGAGACCCGGGTGGGATGCGCCCTCCACGTGGCTGGCCTTGGTTGGGGACTGCAGGAGGCCCGGCCTCCATCTGAGCTTGGTCGCATCAGCAAAAGCAAGCAAAGGGTGGACCAGGCTGTCTGGGTGCCTCCTCTGGGAGTGCCTGGAGGCTCTGAAGATGGCCAGGAGAGTCCCGAGGGCCCAGGCCTGGCCCACACAGTGAACCCACTTCCACTCCATCCTCCCGCCTTGGGCTCCCGGAAGACTGAGTCCCCAGGGAGCCGATCGCTGAGCTGAGGCTGCATGAATGTCACTGGAACCCTAACCATCAGAGCATGAAGAGAACATAGCCGTCTCCTTGTTGGGGAATTTTCAGGCAACTGCCTGGAACCCCAGAGCAGCCTCTCCTTTACCTGTTTTATATCCTGAATTCCTAGCAAGATAGGGTTCTGTGCCTAAAACTTAGAAAATTACTGATGTAGTCCAAGCACCCCATCCTAGAGATGAAGCTATTGAGGCCAGAGAAGGCAGCAACTTGCCAAAAGTCACATAGCCTGCCAGAGACATGCAAAACAGAATCCAGGCCCCTGACAACCTGGCTGGCACAGTGCCCGAGACCACTTAGGTTGTGCTTGGACAGCATGCAGGTAGGACGCGGGATTTCAAGACGAAGGACGGAGACTTAGAGAGCAGGAGCTTTGTCAGTGGCTAGCAGCCCCTTGGGAGAATGGTGATCCGGGCCAGCTTCCCCCTGAGGACAGGATGACCTCAGCAAACCATCTGCCCACAGGTACCTGGGCCAGCTGGACGACAGTGAGTTTGAGAGCGCCCTGCAGGAGCTGCAGCTGACCCGGAGCATCTGGACCATTGACCTGGCCTACCTGATGCGCCACTTCGGCGTGAGGCACCGCTTCTGCACCCAGACCCTGGGTGTCGACAAGGGCTATAAGAACCAGGTGAGCAGCCGGCCACCAGGCCTTCAGCCAGGTCCAGTCATTGGGTAAGGGTGCTTGGACACCTGAGTGCACACACAGGTGTGCAGAGACCAGGGAGAAACATCAGATACCCTGTGGGCAGGACCTGTGAGCCAGCAGACCAGGTGACCTTGAGGTCCAGCCTGCCCAGAGGATCTGAGTGGTGAGCTGGTTCCCTTGGCACCCCTGCCCCAGAGACCCCAGCCACCTACCTTTAATAGCGCTGGACCCTGTGTAGAGGAGCCTCTCGGCCTCCCTTCCTCTCCCTGCCAGGGGGAGGACCTCTCCCTGCCATCACTGAGCACAAGGCAGGCTCAGGGCCTCTGACCTTGTCCAGCCATTACTTTCCCATTTTCTTCCTTTTCATGGGACAACCAGCTCCAAGCTGGGTAATTGATGTTCTGGAAGAAAAAACAAAATACCATCTTGCCTCTTTTTCCTTTTGAAAAGAATGCTGACGTAGCCTCGCCAACACACCAGTGGGTTCCCCCGACCCCTCAGCCCCCACTCACCCACAGTTAGAGCCAGTCCCGCCTGCTGCCCAGGCAGATCTCACACTAGGCTCTGAAACTTGGCAGAGCAGAGTCGCGGCTGGCCTTGTTGGCAAGAGGGTTGTCACACGGTGGCCAGTGCTGGTCACCCTAACTGTCCTTTGAATCTTCTAGGCAGGGGAAAGGAGGCTCATGGATCTGACTTGGTTACCACGGCCACAGGGCAGAGGAAAGGGCCCGGGAGAAGGGTCTCTTTGCCTCCCCCAGGGGTCTCTGTCCCCCTAAAGGCCCTTGTACCAAAGCGTGTTCCGTGGACCTCCCCTGGCTAAGCCGAGGGGCTGCTGGGCATGTAGGTGGCCTCAGCTGCCTCCTTGGCTCATTCACTACAGACGCCTGCTGTGGGGCCCGAGCCCGGGGATGACTGACCTGGCCTGGGGAGCCGAGCTGAGCCCAGCCGACTCCCCACCCCCCCGTCTCCTGAGCAGTATCGTCCTCATGCCCCCATGTGGCCCTGTGCCCTGCAGCCAGCACCTGCTGCCTCTAGAAGACGCAGCTTTCTGTCCAGGCATGCTGCCTATGCCACCTCCATCAGCAGGCCGGCTTCTTCACTCTCCTGCCGTCTCTAACCCCATAACACACTCTTCACTTCATCCCCGTGGGGCGAGGGCAGGCAGGACAAGCAGCCCCTCCAGGCTGCCTTCTCTCTCCAGTCCTTCTACAGGAAGCACTTTGACACAGAGGAGACCCGGGTGAACCAGCTATTTGCACAAGCCAAGGCCTGCAAGGTCCTGGTGGAGAAATGGTGAGCGTCCCTCTGTCCTTCCTGGGTGCCTGGTCTCCCAAGTACTTGCAGTGGGAGAGGCGTTGGGATGGCACAGTGGAAAAGCTAGAGATCTGGAGTCCGGCAGAACTGGAGCTTCCTACACTGGGGGCCTGCTTTTCCTTCCATAAAATGGGGACAAGAGGGGACCTACTGTATATAAAACTCTCACCTGGGGTAGATCCTGAGCAGGGGCTGGAGGGACAGGAAAGCCAGACAGGCTCCAGCAGCCCTCTGGGACAGAACCTGGGAACCCCAGTGAAGAGATGACAGCCCGAGGAACATGCACAGTGATGGGTGGGTGGCAGGGGACAGCCCGTTGTGTAGGCTGTCTAGGGAGGCCTGGCTCCCAGATCTCCCCTTGGACTGCTGTGACCTTAAGTGTGTCTCCCACTTCTCATCTACTCATGGGGGCAGACCCTGGGAGTAACTTGTCCGGAAACTAGTGACTTTCTTCTCCAGGCCTGTCGTGGGGGCCATGCTCAGGCCCGCTGGCTCAGGGCCTGGCCGGCCTCCCCCGCACCCCTCTTCTCAGGTCATCCTGTTCTTTACGGATTTCTGTTTTCATTTTTAACATAATGTAGCTACACGATAGGCAATTTGGAAAACAGGTGGGAAAAGTCTCTGCTCATCCTTCAGCCACATGACCCCATGTCGGAAGGAGAGTCAGCACATGTTTATTTAGAGGCGCTTGACGGGGCTTCCCCGTCCCTCAGATGAGGACACAGAATGGGAGAAACAGCATGAGCCGCCCACAGTCACCCCAGCAACTCTGTGGTGCTGTGACCTGGACCTGGGGCTCCCACACCCAGTTATCCCATGAAACCTGCTGCTTTTTCTCCCAGCCGAGCCCATTTTCTCCTGCAGCTGAAATCCCACTTGTGCACATATACTGGGAACTCAGCCAGCTACTGCATTTCAAAGACCAAATGGGAAACTGGCATGTTTCCCCGGGCTGAGGCAGCAAACTTAACTGCCACGTGACCTGGCAGTGGGCTGGAGTTGTTGTGCCAGGCCCTGTGGTGCTGACGCCGCCACTCCTGAGGAGGTTGTGAAGGAATGAGGGCCCTGAGTGGGCAAGCGTCTCCGCCGGCAAAGATGGTGGAGTCCTGGCCTAGGGGACCCCCACCCCCACCTGCCCTTCCCTTTCTGGATTCTCAGTGGGATCTGCTGCCTCCAGAGCACCGGCTGGAATAGTGCTGAGGGGTCTGCCTCAGGGCGGCTGGCTCTGCTGGACTGGGGTTCCTCTGCGAGTGCCACTGTCCAGCCCTTCCTGGGCAGCCCTCTCTGCCACAAGGAGCCTTAGAAAAGAAGAAAAATAGCCCTTTCAAAGAAGCATTTGGTTATGAAATTGGCAAAGCCGGGCTTGGCTCAGATTTTGGGAATTCAATCGGGCTGACAATTTCCAACATGAGCCACACATGATTTAGGGTAAAGGATTAAGGGGGGTGGTGCTCAACAAAAAGATCCACTCATCAGGCCAGGAGGTGGGTTCCCACATGCTGCTCCATTGGCCCCTGACGGGGGCCCATCAGGGGCTGGCCTCTTGCCGCCCCGGGAAGGGCCTGACGGGACCGGCTTGTCTTTGGGTGCAGTCAGAGCCCCTCTACCACTTGGCCTTGGGCTGAGCCTGGGCCGCAGTGATGAGCATCACGTTCCCACCTACAAGCAGCCCAGGGCAGAGGGCAGAGCAGGGGAATGAGAACAGGGCAAAGGGTCCGCTTGAGCGAGGGGGATGGGGCCCAGCAGCGCCAGCTGACCCTCCTCCCGCCCACAGCACGGTGAGCGTGCAGGACATCCAGGAGCACCTCGCGCAAGGCCACGTGGCCATCGTGCTGGTGAACTCGGGGGTGCTGCACTGTGACCTCTGCTCCAGCCCCGTCAAGTACTGCTGCTTCGCCCCCAGCGGCCACCACTGCTTCTGCCGCACCCCCGACTACCAGGGCCACTTCATTGTGCTGCGTGGCTACAACCGGGCCACCGGCTGCATCTTCTACAACAACCCAGCTTATGCCAACCGTGAGTGCCGGGTGGGGAAGGATGGGGTGGGCTGCACACGTGGTCCCCTATGCCTTCCCCCAGTGACTCCTTACTCAACCTGGTGTGGCCAAGCGACCTCCCTCACCACCTTCTCCTGAAGCCGCGCTCCTTCTGGGCCCCTGGCGTCTGTGCCACCCCTCTGGCCATGCAGCAGACCAGCCACACACCTGGGGCTGTGCCCACCTCTTCAACCTCCTGGTCATTGCCAGGCCAGGCCACCTCTCCCTCCCATACTGCCAGCCGCATGCTGCTGCCCAGGGCCCCGTGTCCCTACCTCTTGCCTTGGTTTCTTGCCCCCTTCCCCACCCCAACCCTCCCAGGACAGCCAGCGGGCACACTTGCCAGAAAGGGAAAGTCTGTCCGGGCCCAGCCCGGCTTCAGGCCCATCCGAGGCTCTCTGCTCTGGGCGTGGGGAAGGGCTGCCCTGACGCACTGCAGACTTACCCCGTGTGGCCTCAGGCATGTGTCTTCCCTTCTCTGGGCCTCACTTTCTCCATCTTCTAAACTGGGAGGGGTCAGAGAATGAGCTCACAAAGGCTGAAATGGGCAAAGAAGGCTTTCTAGGGGTGTAAGACTGGAGTGGTGAAGGGGGCCAGGCAGGTGGGACATAATTAGACCTCCCCCAACTCCCCTGGGTGCCAGCGGGTCATGTATTCCCCCAGCCTGCTGGCCCACTGTGTCCCTTGCAGGAATGTGCATCACCAGCATCAGTAACTTCGAGGAGGCCAGAACCAGCTACGGCACAGATGAGGACATCCTCTTGGTCTACCTGGACAGCTGACAGCAGGAGCCCGGTGTGTCTGGGCCCTGGAGTGCCACCCCGGCCCAGCCGGGCCCGCTCGGGAGGCCCTGGCCCAGGCCCCCGGGCTGCTTGGGCTCGACGCAGCCTTGGCCCATGTGACATGCCCTGGGGGACCTGGGGAGGCCGTGACATGCCCACTTTGTCTGCCCCTGCCGAGTGTGTCATCATGCCGCTTACCCCACACCCCTGCTGATTGGTGGTGGCGTCCCCAGAGTGTCTGAGCAGAGCCTCCCCGGATCCTGATCCTGACTCCGCCTGTGCCTAGGGGACACGCAGCTCCTTGAGTGCCCTGTTGCCTGCGAGCAGACCCAGGACTGTGGGGGAGGCCTCCGCTCATCTCCCCACAGACCTTGGGATGGAGCCCTGGCAACGCCGCTTGTTAGGACAGTGCCTGTTGGAGACTGTGTAGCTGGCCCTGATCCCTGGGGCTGTGAACTGCTTCAGGCCTTGCTGGGAGTCCTCAGTCCTCTCCCCTGGACGGGATGCAGACCGCACCCCCCCTCCCACCCCACGGTGCCCTCGGGTGGATACCACTGCCCCTCCCACCTCCCAGTGGACCCAAGTTCCCGTGGCTGGTTGCAAGGCCTCTGAGCCCTGGGCAGGGCTAGGCCTCTGGCAGAAAGGACTCTAAGACCCCCACAGGCACTACAGCTCTGGGGGTGGAGGGCCCTTAGGGAAATGGACAGGGCCCTGTCTCCGGCATACCTGACCCCAAGGGCTCAGAACAGGTGCCTGGACCCCAAAGACACCCCACCTATGAGGCCTCCTGACACCAAAGTCCCAACAGCGGGGCCTGACCTCTGAGTGCAGGGGGCCCCATGCCTCAAGGGGCTGGGTACTGGGGTGCTAGGGCTGTGCTCCTGAAGCAGTGGTGAGGGCAGCTGGAGGCCTCCCACCCACCCTGGGGTTCGTACTGGGATCTTTTGCACAAACTGTTGGGTCTCTTCTGTCTTGACAGAGAAGGTTGGTGCCTGTCAGGATCACGCAGCACGACACGTAGCATGGACTAGAGCTTTTCCTTTTTTTTGGAGTGGGGGGCAGTGGTGGGTGTGTGTTTTTGAGATTTAAGTTTTCACTTTTGGGGAGTGAGAATCATCCTCAAGTAAGACAATAATAGTGAGATTGCAGGTACTTTGGAACCACTGACACCTCTTCACAGGGCAGGTAAGCCAGCCCAAATTCTCTTTCAAGGAGAAGGGGGAACCCATGGCCGGCAGGCTGAATGCCAGGGCCCCTCACCTTACAGATCGACCCCGGCCCAGGACAGTGGTGGAGTCTTGAATCCAGGTCTGCACCTAAAGAAATAAGGGAAATGGGTCATTCCCAAAGGGGCTGAAGATACCCACCTGTCATGGGCTGCCTTGGCAAAGAGGTGGGTTGCCCCAACAGCCACACTGCCCCATCTTGAACTTCCAGTGTCCAAAGCATGGCTGCTCTGAGGGGCAGGGGAGGGCCATCAGACCACCGGGCCGCATTCCTGCTCAATGCCAGTGTCAGCCTTCAGATGAGCGGGAAGCACTGTTAGCTGGGCAGCCCCCTGGGGTCAGAGCCGAGTGCTGCCTTCAGACTGGTCTCGTCTCCTTTGCCTTAATGCTGGGGGGCCCCGAATCCAGAAAGCTCTGGTTCCACTCCCAGGAGTTCAGTGCACAGCAGCTGTGGGTCTGGGGTGTCCTTGGGAGGGGAGGGGTCCGGGTAAAACGGTGGTGAAATGGATAGATCAAGGAGAGCGGCGAGGAAGAGCAGCTTTCGGGATGGCTGGGTGTGCGGGAGGCGTGGCGCACACGCCGGGGGCCGTCATGTGGAGCGGCCTCCACAGACAGCGGTCATAGCGCCTCAGCCCGTCATGGGACATCAGAAACGCTTGGCCCCTGGGCTCAGAGGATGGCTTCTTGGGGCAAGTCACAAGTTAGAGGCCAGGCCACCCATCTGGAAGATAAGTGAGATGGTGCATCTACCTGGGAGGGTCGTGGAGGCAGGAGGCAAACCGTGTTGCACTGTGTTCTTGCACAAGCCAGGGAAACGGGGCCCGAGAAAGAACCTAACATCAGGACCTGCCCACAGGACGTGGCACCCGTGACCTGCTGTCCACATGCTGGGGCCACACTGGACAGTTTGCTTTGTTCACTGTAGCCACATGGGGACAAAAGGGGTCTTTTGCATTGCAGAGATTTTATACCTAAATATATTTTGTTTGTAATGAGCCATTCTCGATAAACATTATTCTCACTGCAAAGCGATGGGAGCCCCGATCTGCCTTTGTGAATTCTTGTTTTCCCGTGTTCTCAGCATAAGCACATGGGAACCCAGGTCCTTGACATTGTTCTGGGTTTTAGCTGGGACTGGAACTCCAGTTGTCTGGAACCCACTTTGTGCAAGGCCTACGCAGGCAGGTGCAAGGGCCTCCAGCCAGCTTGACTGCGGTTCTTGGAGGGGGCATGGAGGACAGCCCAGCCTCAAGCAGCAGGAGGGTCTGGGGGATGGAGTCTGAGGGGACGGTGGGGCCCACTGGAAGGATCCAGGGGGAAGCCCTCCGGGCAGGACTCCAGCCCTCCTTGCCTCCTTCACCCCCAACCAGCAGTTCCCTTTTTGCCAGCAGATGAGCTCTTCTAGTATTTCTTTTGATAAGAATTGTATTTCTGAAAAGGAAAGTGTTTGGAAACCCTGCTTTATCTGGCAGCCTTGGACCCGCCCCCAGCCCTACAGGGCACTCGGAGAGCCAAGCGGGCTTCGTGGGGCGGGTCTTGTCTCCAGCCTGTCCCCCATCCTGACCGAGCGCTGCTCTGCCCCTGCCCGAGCCCCCCACTGCAGAGTGCCATCAGTAGGAGCTCTAACCAAGGTCTAGGACTCTTGCAGACTGGAGAGCACTGCTGTAGGCGTACCTTCCGTCAGGGAGTCGCCCCACTGGGGACGGGCAGCCTGCCAGAGTGCCAGGCAACAGCAGGTACTCTATGTGTTTAACCAGGAGCATGTGCACGCTGGCTGTGAGCTGGCCCCTGGGCACTGCAGCACGGACCTCCTGCCCACCAAGGAAGGAGGCCTGCTCTGAATGACTATATCATGGTCAGAACGGGCATGGGAGAGACTGGTTGGGGGCCTCTGGGTGGCCGCTACATGCAATCATGAGAGAAAATAACAGAACGAGAGAGGTGGTAAAACAGGAGGGACAACTGTGAGTGGAACTGGCTGTCTGGAGAATGCAGGGTGGGAATAGTGGGGGCAAGGCTGAGGATGCCTGGAGGGGCCCCCTGGGAGCCAAGAGGCCAGGCCAGAGGAGAGAGCTGGAGGCAGCCGGGCTGGCGCCTGTGGCTCGGTCTCACGGCACTGCACAAGGGTTTCTCAAGCTGGGGCTACAGTCGCCTCAGGGCTTGGCTGGAGCATCTGCCCCCAAGCCACTCATGGGGCTGCTGGCTGCAGGCTTGGTGTCCTCAGACATGACGGGTAGTGATGACAGAGAGACTGAACACGAGTGCCCGGGATGAAAGCCACAACCTTTTCATTTCAGAAGTGACATTCTGTCATTTCTGTGGTATTCTGTTTGTTAGAAGTGAATCAGTACGTCCCGCACACACACGGGAGTGCACAGGGCATGAATCCCAGGAGGCATGGCCACTGGAGGTTGGGTGGTTCCATTTTTTAAACCTGAAAAGCAGAGCTAGCAACTGCCCCCGGAGATCACCTAGCCTCGTGTATCCTGAGGCCTGCCCTTCAGAACGCCAGAGGTGGGAAGTCCTGTGTAACAGGGTCCTGGGCAGGCCAGCTTGGCCAACACGGCACGTTAACACCCCCTACTGGGCAGTTTAAGATGTGCAGAAAAGGCTCCGTATAATCCTGCCGCAAGGGACCCATGCATTTAGGGTTTTCTCAGATTACTTAGCCACGTTTGTTTTTGCGTAACAGCAGTATTCTATGAAATGTGCTGGCATTTTGGTGACCACCGGTCTAATCCAAGGGGGAGGCTGCAGCCAGCGGGGAGCCACTGGACTAGGTCAGCGAGCTATAGAGTCAGATCCAAACCCATCATCGCTGCTTTCCCGGCCCTAAGCCCAGGCCAAGGGCCGGAGCTTGAGTTCTGCAGCCAGAAATGGACCGCCGCTGCCCCTGGGGGGCCTGCCTCCAGGTAGGAAGCCTGGCACGTGACCACGATGCTCTGGAAGTGCCCAGGCCCTGCCCTCCTTGTTGACGTGCCTCCGTCTGACCTGCCCCAGCCCCAGAGAAACACACATCAGAACAGAATTGAGAAAACCGGGAAGACGCCATCCTGCTGAGCTGCTGGCCCCAGGGGCCTGGCAGTGGGACCATCATGGTACCTGAGTGTTCATGGAAAAACCTGAGGCCGAGACCCCTGGGAGCCCAGCACAGCAGCCCCTCCAGCGGCCTCTCCGCCCTTTCCTGCCCCCAGCCTCCGTCCTCTCTGCCTCTCCCTGACTGCCTGCTCTGCAGGCATCCTGAATACTGCTTCCTGAAGACCTCCCCCAGCCTCTGGTGAAATCCCGGGCTTCCCCAAACCCTGCAAGGCCTGCTGAGCTAGTCTTCCCAAGCTGTTTGGAGCCCCTTGATTTTCAAGGGCTTGATGTCTACATCTTATTCTACCTTCACAACAGCCCCTTGAGGCAGCCAAGCTGGCCTCCTCTTGGTGCCTCCCACCTGCCAAAGTCCTTTCCTGCCTGGGCCGCTGGCCCTGCTGTTTCCTCCCCCTGTACCCTCCCTCAGGGCTCTGCTCAACGTCATCACTTTGAACTCCACCCTTTCCCCACACTCCTCAACCACGTCATCCCATCTACCTGTCTCCACTGCTGTAGCCCCAGTCCTGACACCTGGTAGGTACTTGATAAAGTGATGAATGAATGGTTTGTAGGTCTTTAACACCTGTTTTAGTGGCTTTCCTGTACTTCTTAGATCTACAGGTCATTAAAAGGGAGGTTGCATTTGAATCTTTGATGTCATGCAGAATCAGCAGACACGCTCTCTTACAAGGATGAGAAGGAGAGTAAACTGGTAAATGGCTTTTGTAGGGTAATTTGGCAGTGTACTATTGTGAGGCAATTCTCCACTGGTGGCTGCATTTCTGCATGTTTCACGGGCACAAACACTAGCCACCTTCGTTACAAATTATCTTCTCAGGGATGTTTGGACAGCAAATAGTCTTGGAACACATGATAGTGTCTCCGTTAAGAGCAACAGACAAGCAGGCTCAGGTTCTTTAAACTCAGGGTTTCTCTATTATAATGCAACCCACCGCAAGTGCAAGTGTCCCCTCTCCCCTTTTGGAACTGGGGCTTGGAGAATCTGCAAGAAAATTCTAGTACTCCGGCAACTGCTATTGCTGTCATCAATTGTCCTTTGCTCCTACCCATGACTGTCACGTTTTCTACTAGCATCCATGAAACATGGCAGGCCAACTTGCAAGCAAGGCCCTTCATGGTTCTTGACAGTTTGGGTAACAAGGGTGGGATGCTGACAGAGATATGGTTTTCTGGAAGAAGGATGAGGGCCTTGCAGGCATTTAATGCGAAGTCCATGGGAATCAATAGCAAACTTGTTGACCAACTTGTATGGTAATCAGGCGATACGTGGTCCTTCACTTTATTGCCTATTAATGAAGAAGAATTGTGAAGAGCTGCAGACTCAGTCCCCTTAGTCCAAGGTTCAAAGACAGCTACCTGCGGAGCCCTGGTGGTTAACTCCTTGGGCAGAAGGCATCCTTCACTCTCGGGGTCAGCTTCACATCTTCTGCATTGTAACAACTAACAGCAAGTCTTGTCTTGAGTGGGCAGATGGTCGTGGCCCTTTTCAAACAGCCACAGAGCTGTACACCTGCACTGAGTATGAGAGGTGAAGAATTCAAGAGCTGTGGGAAGTGGGCAGGGATCACAGACCTGCGCTGGTTTGCTTGGGCACTGATGGGGGTGGGGGGGTGTAGTGCAGGCCAAGGAGGAATGGCACGGCACGGCTGTCCGCTCAGCTCCTGCATTCCCTCACGCCAACCCTAACTCCACTAGGAGGCAATGGTAAAAGGTCCCAGAGATGTTTTACACTGGGTCCTTGACTGCTTAAAAACAGCTTTGGTCAACCTAGGGATTCCCCTGAGACAAACTCCTACAGAAAGCCACAGACGAAGCAGTGCCTAGCGTGCGGCCTCTTCTGGCTCCAACTGGGTCTGCGATGCCAGTGAAGGCAGCTGATGAGAGTGAGAAGCCGACCCAAGACATCCCAGTAAGTTCCTGCAGTCAGCGCTGCCACCCAGCACCACTTTCCTAGCCCTCAGGATAAAACTGGGTGAAAACAAGTGTTACTGTGACACGGGGGCCAGCAAAAGTTCCACATTAAGCCGGATTCTTCAGAAAAAGTTACCACAGCTTACATCTAGTTGGCGTCAGCCAAAGACAAAACTTGGGCAGCCTCCCTGGATGAAGGCGGGGATCCCCAAAGCTGAAGGAAGTGGTGTCAGGAGTGATGGCCTTGCCACTTGACATGGGGCTGGGGCTGGGGCTGGGGCTGGGCTCAAGACTCACGACCTGCTGCCACGCCCCTGGAAGCTGAAGGTGAACACGCCAAGGCGAGTGGCAAGGAGCCACTCTCTCCTCCCACAGTCCCTGATCCCTCGCTCCTTCTCTACCTGGATATCAGCTGCTTTGAGGAGAAATGAAGTCAGGGCTGAGGTCTCCCTGTTCTCAGGAGGGACCAAAGGCCATATGCACCTGAGTATGCTGGGGAACTTCAGGGAAGGGGGGACTCGAACTTTTATGGCTCTGCTGGATATGAGTGCGTAAGCCACCATCCCTCCAGGTGCCTGTGGGGAGCACGTTTCCAAATTCACCTGATGGGGTTCAGGTACGTTTCACAGCAGGGGAGAAAAAGTGAAATACCTGGAGCCCTTTGGTCCAATCCAAGCATTGTTTTTGTTGCACCTGTATCTGAATGTATAGTATGAATTGATGATCGTCCTTCCAGCCCATGAACACAGAGGGCGCTCTCCCAGTCAGGAAGAGCTGCAAGCACTTCTCTGAGGGCCAAGGGATTAAACTCCCCTGCCGTCTGCCCTCTGTCAGTAGGTCAGGATTTAGCCTGAGTCCCTTTACCCTCTGATGCCCAAAACCTCCACACGTAGATGGTGTCCTATTGACAGCAAGCCTCAGCCTCAGCCTCAGAGATCCTGACAGTAGTGTTTTCACACCTCCACGAGCAGGGGTGACTGATCAACCCTGACCAAATTCAGTTTCTGGGGACTATGTG